GGCTGTTGGGCTTGTTTAGTTTAAATTGCCGATGACAATCCTTGGAGTATTATCAACATATTTAATTGAAACATTTTTTCCATTGTCTTTCCTAATCTTTAGTTCATCCTTTAGTTTTTTCATGTTGTCTCTCTGCAAAAGAGTCATATCCAAATCAATGTAAATCTTTATACTTTTGTTGATTTTCTTCTTATTTCTAATCACTATCATAGCTTCATCGGAGTTATTAAAAGTTACTTTTAAAGGTCGTGCTCCATTGCGATTATTTTTTCCCAATCTCGTGACTCCAATAATTTCCATAACGCGATTTCCAGTTGTAACTTCTTTTATTATGTCCTTGATTTCATCAATATCACTTTTTTGTAGATTATTATTTTCAGGAAGATTATAAATCATGATACTGCTTGCTCTTTTTTGGCGATCGTTTAATTTCTTGATGATACTTTCTTCAGATACCGCAACTCCATGAGGTTTATCAAGTAGAGACTTTCATTCCGTTTCCAATTGGTCAATTTTCGCAATCAGAGAAGTAATCAGCCTCAAACCAGAATGAAAATCCTCGCAATAAATTCTAAGAAGTCTTTTACTCTTCAAGTCCATGACTTTTAGTTCAGAAGCGTTGAAATCAGAGCATTCTCTGTGGACAACTCGGTCACAGCTATCACACATCAATGTAGCAGCATCCTTACTGAGTGGCTCTTCACACTTACAACAAACCATCATAATTTTCATCAATTATTAAAAATAAAATAAAAGAAACCCAGTCAAAAAATTTCCTGCCACTGGACGCAATATAATGGAAAAGTTTTTTCGGAATCCTTTTTGTTTTGGCAAACAATTTTACTAAAAGCAAATTACACAGGTGATATTAGATGATAATATATACAAAAATGTGTGACTTGCAATAACTGCTTTAAATTGATATGAAAATCACTATAAAAAACGAGCTTAAATCAAGTAAAAATCCTTGTTACTTCTACTGCTTGGAGGTAAATAATGATGTAAGTGCTTGTACCAAACCTCAGCTCAATATCACAACGGTTTTTCGATAAATGTAAAATGAAGTATTAAAGACGGAAAAGTTTAAACTGAGCATTTTCGAACCCATGTGTATATGAAGCTTTCTTTCATATTTATAGATGTAGAATCTCTCCTTACATTTTCCTCACAACATTCTGTAACACCCTGTATATGCATATTTGCGATTGAGCAAAAAAAAAATATAAAAATCTACAAAGAGACAAAAAACTGTTATAATATATAAATAAAAAGTTCACTGGTTTATTCCGTCCTTTTTATTGTTTTTATAAAATTTAAGTACAGGCACTGCATATGTTTCGGAAACACTGTTCCATCTTTTGGTGCCAGTCAATATTTAATAAAATATTCCAAATATACCTTCACACGATGTAAAACAAAAAGACGTGGTTTCTGTTATTTTAAAATGTTTGTAATCGTCCCCATATTTTATTAAATGTTGACTGGCACCAGAAGATGGAACAGTGTTTCCGAAACATATGTTGTGCCTGTACTTAAATTTTATAAAAACAATAAAAACGACCGAATAAATCAGTGAACTTTTTATGTATATAAAATTCTACTAGGGTTAGGAAATTATCCTTTTTCAAAAAACTATTAATTATATAAAAACTGACTATACTAATTACAAGAAAGGGGACAAAAAAAAATCAGCAAAATAGATTCTCTAATCTAATAACAAATAGAATTTCGGAAATGTGTTAAAAACAAGAACACATCAGAATTTATTGTAAGAAGCTCGGAAAAAATTGGGTACTTGGGGGTTCTTATGAAGAGGACAACCTCGGGAATGAAGCTAGGCACCTCCACGATGTCACATTGTTCGTATTTTTTAATAAAAAGTGTCAGAATGAATTAATTTAGGCGGTGACCAATAATTAAATTACTCAGGGCCTTAATCATGTAAGGATTATATTGCCTTGAACTTGGCTTCGTATCCTTTATCTGTATAAGAGTACTACTCTTAACATCAGACCTAATGTACCTCTGTAAGAGACTAAAATAAACACAATGTTTTCTCAAAACAAATAATATATCTTTATGTAAAAAACTCAACATACACAAATATGGGGCTCAATATAATAATATATGTAAAATATCAACTTACCGACTCTAACAAATATATCTGGAGCACATGTCATAACCCTAACTATTTAAAACCGCCCAAATACAAAAATACTTTTAACTTTGGGAGTCTCAGTGATCTGGGTATCGCCTACAAGGAGGGCCTCCTATAGGGAGGATCCTGTCCTGTGGAAAAAGCCATGTGCATTCACTCGAGATTACCTTTATAACTTCTGCATAGTGTATTGTTATGAAACTAATGTTTAATAATTATTAAATAATGAACCTTGCACATGATTGCAACTCCAAACTAATTGTCGACATAATTAAACAAAGTTTTATGTACAGGATGTTATTTAAATTATTAATTAAAATTAGGAAAAATATGAATTTAATGAAGCGTGACAATATGTCTTTCTTGTAAATTTTTGTAATTCTGCTTTTGTTTATCTGGGTTTTATGAATCTTTCTTTTTACGAAATGTAGTTTTAATTTTCCTACAGTTATGTATATAGTATCACATTTTAATAGCTTATAAGTCAAGAATAAAAATATATATTGGTATTAAACTTCCTAGATTTGCTTCGTTTTTGTTGGCATAGTTGTAAATTGTAAAAATGTATCTGAAACTATAAAAAAAATCATATTTTTTGAACCATTAAATATAAAAATAAAATTGAAATTAAATCACGAAGCCATATGTCAATTGTATACCTGTTGTCGTATTAGCCAAAGGAGTAGTTGTTTTTTTAAAGGGAAATGGTCACTTATGTTAATTATATATTTTTTAGTTATTGGTTTTTATACTCTAAAATACATATGGATTACGTTTCCTGGGGATACCATAAAAATTTTATACAGGACGTTAGAAATGTTTGTGATATTTGGACCCAAATATGCACCTGTAATTATTTTGTTGGTGGTAGAAATGCGATCTAGAACCAACTTAATATGTAGCTTTAAAAAATTTACTTACAGGGTGTTGTTTCAGGATGAAAGAGTTTTTAGCTAAGCTGGACCTGGATTCTTTTACTTCTTTATTTGTTAGTATATTTGATAAGATATGGATAACAAGAGTACCAAATGTCAAAAACATATAAGGTGTTGTTCCCAAGTTATGAATAAGAAATTGACTAAAGACTCATTAAACAGGAGGTTATTTAGAATCACCTCGGTTACCTCCATCCACAGTTCAAGCATGTCCGTTTCCCAATGAATTACCCTGTATATTTATATTTTATTTTCTATTGGCATTTTTGATTTGCCGATGAAGAGATGCAGCAATAAAACTGCGTGATCAAAATGTGTTGAGGACTGGACCCTCCAAACCTCCTTTTACCAAGTTATAGACCAGGAGCAGGTTTTATTAGATTATTAAGGGGAATGAACCGTGCATACTTGTAATTATTTTAACATCAATAATAGTAATAATAAATGTAAGGAATATACACGTCGCATTAAATTATAGTTCTTTGCCGAAGAAAGTAAATCCAAATAATAAAAAACGGAAATGGTCAACGGTTACATAGAAAACGGCCTGCTTTGAACTGATAAAAGTAAAACACTCGCCCAGTCGTTGGCTCCTCATCTTTATTTATTTATGTAGCACAGAATGTAAAATTCCAATTAGTACAGTATATCTAACCAACCACAAACAATAGTAGGAGTTAAAGACAATATAAAATAAATTTAAAAAAATATATAAAATATTTAAAAAAAGGAAGAATAACACAACACCGCGGGACGGTACGAGTAAAACTTAGACATTCAGGGGTTGCAGGTCCCTTTTCAGCGCTAAAATATTACAATTAAGCATATCACAGTCCAAGTAAAATTTGTTATAGTTCTTGCATAAGCGATCAATAAATGCACTTTGTCCGTAATTGGTTCTGTGTCTTTTTACATTCAAAAGTGATGTGTGCCAAGTCCGTCGGGCAGGAACCAATAGTTGAACTCTCTCAAGCAGTGACCTATTAATTTAGCCAGGAATAGGAGTAAAGCCTGTTTTCTTCTGCATGCCGCGAAGCATTAATTTCGAAGTCGGTGTTTAAAGTATTTTACGAATTTACGTTGTACCCTTTCAATTCTATTGATATGACAGGTGTAAGTAGGTTGCCAAATGACAGAACAGTAGTACAGGACACTTCTCACCAGGCCATTGTAAAGTGTCATGATTTCTTTTGTGTCATTTACGTACCTAGTATGTGTCTTGATGAAGCCAAGCATTCTGAGGGCTTTGCATACTATGGAATCTATATGGTTGTGGTATCAAAAATAATGCCCAGATCATTAACTGTCGAGGATCTATCTAGGTTGAAGCTGTCAATACTATAACAGTTAAGAGTAGGATTATGCACTTAGAAATATTTATAGAAAGAGCGTTATTTTTACACCAGGTAGCAAACCTGTTTAGATCAGACTGTAGTGCGGAGTTATTACCAGTGTTTCTACTAAACAACTTTAAATCATCCGCGAAAAGAAGGCATTGGCTATTAAGAAACCAGGATGTAACATCATTAAAGAATAAGGAAAACAATAGGGGACCTATACTCGTATGTAAACCTTGAGAAACATCGGATAGGACTGAAACGTCACATGATACGGAATTATGCACTATGACACGTTGTTGTTGTTGACTATCTTCAGATGGCAATCGGACACTCATTTTAGGCATCTCTTTGGCGTGGCGACTATAGCACCTATTTTTTATTTTAATTGTTTACGTTTTTTTTATTTTTTTTTTTTTATATTATCAATTTCATGATTTATATTTTTGAATATTTTTAATTTATATAAATAAAACAGATTCCATTTTTACTTTCCTGTCTTGTACACTGAAGGAGAGTATAGGAATCATGATTTTTTGTTTATAATACTAATACAGCATATTTTTTTAGGAAATTGACGGCAAGGCATTCTTGCTACTTAATTCTGACATGATGATGAAGTACATGGGCCTGAAACTAGGTCCGGCACTTAAAATTTGCAATTTAGTATCTAGGCTAAAGGGTAGAAGACACTTATTGTAAGGATAATAAAAATATACTGATTATTCATTAGTTTTCCGTACTTGAAAAGTATACTTTCTTCGATTAAGGGAGATAATTTACAGGTTTTTTATCTAAGATTTTTTCCTGTTAGACTTTAATTCTTAGCGAGTTTTTGCACTATTATATGTGGTGCTAAAGTTTAATTCATTATTTCATTTGTTATACGTGATTTTCCAGAAAGTTTACACCTAGCGAGATTTTTTCTATGGCTGTTTTATAAAAATTAAATACAGCCGATATAAATACTGGTGTAAATTTGCTTTTTACTTTTATAGGTATTGATTTTTGTCAGTACAAACTAAAATCCCACATTCAAGTGCTTTTAGAATAAGTACTTTTGGTAGAACTTCATTTTAAGAGTGAATTTTGTATAAAAGGATATTGAATCTTAAATTATAGATAAAAAGTTAATAGTTCATCACAGTAAAAATTTAATTTTGACAACGGGTATTTTCATGGAAAAATGATCTCTGTACAAAATAGGATACAAAGTTTTATGATTTAAAAAAACCTTTTTAAGTAACACACTTTATATAACAAGAGTGTTTCATGACTAACTAGGCGATTTATTATATCTAAACGCTAAATTGATAAAAAAAAAACATAAAGTTTGGCATTTCAAAGTTAAATGTTTTCTTACAGATGTTCTGTTGTATTTTTATCTAGTGCTTGATAAATAAGATTAAAGATTTTTAATCCAACAAAATATCATTTTTATTTATTATTAGCCTAATATTCATAGCACAACATGTGCGTTATTTAAATTCAATTCTCTTTCAATACCGCTGTTTAATGTGAAACACTCTGTATAAAAAGTATAGACGAGGATTAGGCTAAAATTATTGATGTTATTATGGTGAATAGTTTTGTCTATTTTTTTTTATTGATTTACTAAAGTTTTCCAAAAATATTGAATAATCTACAAGGATTGTATGTAAAATAAGGTCTACTTTTTTTTTCACATTTTAGGCGACTGTCATAAAAAAATTACGTTTTACGGATTTATTAACAAACCTAAAGTGTCAGTTTTTTGTCGCATTAAACAAGTATGTAAAAAAATATTGATTCTACTTGATGAGACAATCGCCTAAAAAATGTGTGCACCTCAGTCGTATGATCTTTTTTGACCTAACCAGAAGTTATTATTGGTATTTCTGATTCGGCCAAAATTGATCTATTTACGGTACACAAATAACTATTATTTGCAATGAATTGTTGAGAGAACCTGGATTTTATACTATTTTTCTACAATATAATCTCCTTTGCGATTCATGCATTTTTGCATTGGGTGTAGCATTTTTCATATGCTGAGTGTCATGGAACTCTCCTGCCGCAGTGCGCAGGTAGTGTATAACCTCTTTTTTTTTTTCGGTTCTAAAATTCTTTTCACCCAGGAAAAAGATGATAATCAGTAATTGTCCCAGTTGGTATGAACTCATACAACAATATCTCCTTCCTATCCCAAAAGTCAGTCCATCACATTGTTTGGAGTTCTATGACACGGATAAACCAAAAATGCTACACCACATGCAAAAATACATCGATCACAATGGGAATTATGTAGAAAAATAGTAAAAAGTCCGAACTTTTCAACAATGTATAATTCATTGCAAATAAACTTATATTGGAGACCAAACTCCCTGAAATCAATAGTGAAAAAATATACAGAGAGAATCATTTAAAAACAACGACATTTAAGATATTTGTAACACTCTGTATATTTCACAGTATTTTGGAAATATGCAAAAAGTAAATTCTATAACTTTTATTTAAAACATTTTCTTATATTTCTTATGATAAGAGAGATATTGGACTTCCTCGCACTATAGTCCAAGCGGTGGGTGGTTTCTATTCGCAAAAGGTCGGAAAGAAATGAAATTTGGTGGGATGGTAGACATGGGTCCCCTGATACTACACCCAAGTTTGCGACCTCGGGGGGGTTTCCGGTGGAGGGATGAAAACTGCGTCGCGACGCTTTTCGGAAAATAGCGCCGTTGTGGTAAGTGCTATCGAAAAAAAGTTCAAATAAAATATGTACAAGACAAAATCGTGCACTCTTTTTTTCCTCCGTATTCGTTATTGGAGAAGTTGTAGATTTGCTTGTGTTGTTGACTGCTAAAGCCAGAGGGGATACCACGTTAAAAAAACGCGCCGATCAACCTTACCTCAAGGGTGGTGTGAAACGAGTATGCACAAAAATAATAAATTTGGCGTCTAGGTCAACAATAATAAGGAAATATTGACTGTAGATTCTGATAATTACAAAATCTTTATATCGGAGTATGTAGGGGCGCGCTTAAAAACGTATCTCTTAGAAGAAAAAAAAATATTACATATTTGATTCATAGCGATCTTCGTCTTAATCCACGCTAAAATGATCATTTTGTTGAACATTGCAAATCAACCCCCTACTTTGGCGCGTCGTAAAGCGGGAACTATTAGTCGCAAACAAAAAAATGTAGAGGTCAAAATTATACACGATTTTGTCCTGTACATATTTTATTTGAACTTTTTTTCCATAGCACTTACCACAATGGCGCTATTTCCCGAAAAGTTTTCATCCCTCCACCCCTCGAGCGGCAATCCCCTGAGGTGGCAAAATTAGGTGTAGGATCAGGGGACCCATGTCTACCATCCCACCAAATTACATTTCTTTTCGACCTTTTGCGAATAGACCCCCTTATTCTTTACCCACCGCTTGAACTACTGATGGGCAATTTACAGGATAATGGTATTCAGTTTTTTTGTTTTCTTAACCGTTGAGCACTTACTCATCTTTAATAGTTCTATTGGTCTTCACTTCTTTAAAGTAATGTGCAAGATTAAGATAAAGAAGTAAATATGAAAAAGTATGGAAACTCGGTTATGTTGTGTCTTCTATTCTACCACAGTTAAAGTCTGTTACAAAAACGTTTTTTTACCAAATTATTCTATTATTGTATTTAACCGTTTGGGATTTTTGGTATTCTTTGAATATTGCATTTCTCTTAAAATGCATTTGTACCATTTTTTCCCTAAAATGTTTGTGATATTTCATAATTTTTTTTGTCTTAAAGATTTAAGTTGTATTTTCATCTTTATGTCGTATTGTACAGCAATTTTTCTAGGATAAATAGAAATTGGTTTGGAAGGATGTCTAAATGTTGATAAAAACAATATTGATTATATTTTTCGGTAAAATTGTAGATTTTAGTGTAAATACTAAAGATTGACTATGAATATGAACATTAAAAAATAAGAGCTTAAGTCGATAAGTATTGCTGAAATAATTTGCGTATTTTTAAAAGGTAGGGTGTTTATTTAGTTGTTTTTTATTTATTATATTTTCTCTCTCGAGTAAATATTTAGATTCGTAGGTGGTTATAGCAAAAATACATATAAAATAATACCGTGTATCATACCTTCATACGTTACTGACAGTTTCTTCAATGATCGATTCTTTTAGTAGAGAAAGAATAATCATCCCAAATGAAATGAATAATTTTTTTAAGGAGTTTTATTGTATCTACAAAGACAGATGAACATGAAATATATTTTTTTTAATAAAACTTTAAAAAAATATTGAAATACATTCTATTATTGTGTTTTTCTTTATCCGCATATTCATTTATTAAAACTGATAGCTCAAAATCACCCTACCTCTCATTTTGATTGAATTGAAATTCTATATATTTTAATTTAGAATAATATTGAAGTATTCTACACTTTTTGTAATTCCAAACACTGTTATTGTATTACTATATCTTTGTTTTTCTTTCTGCAGTTGTACATTAAGGTAAAATAAAATATACAAAGTGAAAAATGTTTATTATTTTTATAACTACAAGATCCCTATGTTTCTTAAATATCTCGGATTTTTCCATAGAAATATATGATTTATCTAACAAATTTTTAATGTCATGTTAAATTAATAAAAATTTGATATGTCCATATTCAAAAATTTTGTCATATCTTTATTAAAGCAGGCACAGAAGTTGGAAAGACTTTTCGCAGTTCTCCCACTTCATACATATGAATTGACAGTTTTGCGGCGTAGCTAACCGAAGTGGACGCGTTACGTTAGCATACAAAATTATTTTATAGATGTTAATAACAATTTTGGGAAAATAGTTTAATAAATTGTGAATAGCTGTTGAAATTTTGTAGAATTATGATTTGGATATTATAATACTTGTTTAATAATTGTTTTTAGACCATAAATTTAAAATTACTTATTCTATGAAACGACATTGGCAGGTAAGCATTACCGCGAAATTCTCCACCTGGTTTGACGTTTACTCCCCTTCTACCTACCAAAAGCCTTTTCAACTTCTGCCTTGCTATACCAACGAAAATCCTGAAAAATTCAAATTTTGCATATTTCTTCAAATTTCTGCATTATAGTATTTTAGATAAATCTTACATAGGACAAACACTATACGGAATGAAATCACAAACAACTCTCAATGAAAGAATTTTCTTCTATAATCATAAATAACAGAAATACCTATACCTTAAATTAGAAAAATTTATATTAAATAAAATATGTTTATAAATATACCGCAAATGGGTTGCCTAAGAAATTACTGTCAAGGCTACTTAAGTTTAAAATTTGGTGTTTTTTCTTTAACCGTTTCTGAGTTATCTTCAAAATTCGAAATATGCACATTTCCTCAAATATCTCGAATACCGTCCATTTTAGGGAAATCATGTATAATACCAAAATTATAGAGAATGACATCACAAGCAACTTTTATCATGATTCCTATATTTTCTTTATCTATATTAGTACAATCAAATAGACCTTTAAATCAAAATTTTGGAGGAAATACAGGAATTTTTGATATAAGTCACTGTAGAGTATTTGAAATCGATATGTAAAAAAATTTTGTTTTTCAGGCACCGGCAAATGTCAAAAAACAAGAAAATAAAGTGTTTTTTTAAAATTATTTAAAAACGGTAGGTGTTATCAAAAAAAGTTTTTAATATAAATTGTAAAGCATAAAGTTTTACATAAAAATGATATTTGACATTTTTTGATATTATTAAAACTGACAGAGTTAGGGTGATTAAGAGGAGATAATAATTTGCAAAAATCATAGCGAGCTCAAAATTAAATGATTTTGTAGTTTCTTTCTATTGTTTACTCAGAAAATTATAAATTTCTTTTAAAAAAATTTTTTTTTTGTATTTTTAAGTTATAACAATTTTAATTTAGAAATTTTCAATTAATTTTACGAATTTATATAGTAAATTTTGAAGTAAATTTATTAGCTTGACTGACATGAAAAATATGGGCAATGAACTAATAAAAACGACATCGCGACAGTTTGGTCTCCACTTGAAGTTCCATTAAATAAATAAAAATAAAAACAAATATAAAAGAACTAAATAAAAATATTAAAAATAAATAAAAATGAAAATAAAAAATATAAAAATAATAAAAAATTAATAAATAAAAATGGGTATATTAAAAAATATATAAAAATAAGTAAATACAAATAAATAAAATATGAATAAAAATAAATCAAAATAAATAAAAACAAATAAAAATAATTAAAAATAAATAAAAATAAAAAATAATAACAAACAGTTAAAAAAATTAAGTAAAAATAGGTAAATTATTAAAAATAAAAATAATAAAAAATAAATAAAATTAAACAAAAATAAATGAAAAGATAAGTGTAAAAGAAAATGTGTACATATAAATAAATAAAAATAAAATAAATTAAAATAAATAAAAATAAATTAATACGAACAAAAATTAAAAAATAAATAAAAATAAAATAAAAATAAAAAATATTCATTTTCATTTATTTATAAAAAATAAAATGACAAATATTTAAA